AGAGCTTAGTTGCAAAAGTTNGAGGTTTGCAAACAAGAATTGACAGTTGTGAGGTAGGTGAACAAGAGTTTAGGTTGGCAAAAAAGAATTGTGGGTGGTAAACTAGAGTTGAGGGAGGCTAACAAGAACCGAGGGTAGATGTACAAGAGCTGGGGGCAGTAAACAAGATTTGGGGGTGGTAAACAGGAGCTGGGTTAATGAACGACAACTAGGGTGGTAACTAAGAGCTGAGAGTGGTAAGCAAGTATTGTGAGTGGTAAACAAGTATTGAGGGTGGTGAACAACAGCTGGGGTGGGAAACAACAGCTAGGTTAATGAAAAACAACTAGGGTGTTAAACAAGAACTAAAGGTGGTAACCAAGAACCCAGGGTGGTTAACAGGAGCTGGGGATGTTAAACAAGAACCCAGGGTGGTAAACAACAACTAGGACCGTGAACAAGATCTTATGGTGGACAAGAGTTTAGGGTGGTAAATAAGAATTGTGGGTGGTTAACAAGAACAAGAACTGAGTGGTTAACAAGAACTGTGGGTGGTTAACACGTATTGTGGGTGGTTAACACGTATTGTGACGTATTGTGGGTGGTAAACAAGTATTTTGGATGGTAAACAAGAGCTGGGGGTGGTAAACAGGAATTGTTGGTGGTTAACAAGAACTTACTTCCTTCAGCTCTTGATTACCATCCCCAATTCTTGTTTACCACCCTTGGTTCTTGTTTACCACCCTAGCTGTTGTTCGCCACCCTGGGGTCTTGTTTACCACTCCCGTTCTTGATTACCACCCTCGGTTCTTGCTTACCACCCGTAGTTCTTGTTTACCACTCACAGTTCTTGTTTTTGTTAACCACCTTTTTACCATCCGTACACATTACTTAACACCTGTCAGTATGGTTTATTATCGTACGCCTTATTACTACCCTTACATATTACTTACCACCCGTCAGTATGGTTTATTATCGTACACCTTATTATACCTTAAACCTTATTACCACCCACATACATTACTTACACATTCGCGATGGCTCCAACCAGGGATTGATATTCTTTGGATTTTTCGACTCGATTTCCCCATGTCGGTGTTTGGGATTGGAGGGGCTAAATTTCATAGCAACAGTAACAGGACCTTTTGGGATGTATGCTAATTTGGTGTAAACAAAATGTCGGAATTTCTACTTGCGTTTCATTGCAAGAAATTCAATTTATATTAACACGGTCTTGTCTGAACCTGACAAAATCCATTATAAATTACTCAGAGTCGACTAATATGTCACTGAAAGAAACAATTATATCAAAAAGGCTGACATTTCATGAATTTTTAGAGATTTTTTCTGCCACCCGGGTGGTGAATAGTCCACGCCCTTCATTTTATTACCTGCATAACAGGCTTACTTATTACGAGTCTTTCCATATTATATCTGAAGAATGTCAAAATGGAAACGTCAAATTTGGTTCAATACTTCATGAGAGTGTTGCAGGATAAGTATTTAATGATCAGACTGGAGATATTTAAGATGTCATGAATTACACCTTTGGAAAAAGTAACATTGCCAGTACATATTTACTAAATATTGCTTTCAGAACAAACTGATTTTTCAATATGGCATTACATATATGATGTAGGCCTACCGGTACCATTTAATTTAGAGGGCTGGGATCATGCTTGCTTTCTTGTCTTCAAACATCATTTCACCTTGACATTATTTTTGATTCAATCAATACTGATGAATGACAATATCAAATTTTTTTTGGGCCCCTAAATTTGAAATATCGAGAGTTATCCATTAACAAAAGAGTTATCAAATATAAAACAAATGCACCATTACTAATAATACCGGTACTCGATACAGTAATTAGCCTAACACTGTCATATCCAGAGAGTTATTTTACATCAATGTCAATACCATAGCAGTCCATAAATTTAAACATTAAAAAAACGTCCCTCCACATCCCCATTAAAATACAGCATTATCAGTTGTTTGTGTGTTCCTCGGTCAAACTCTCCCTCCTGTCAGTTTTGTGTGTTCCTCGGTCAAACTCTCCCTCGTGTCATCTAGAAGATGCTTGTATTGACTGAAGGATCTTTCAACATCCACACTAGCAACAGGCATCCAGATTGCATCCTTAGCAACTGCTGCTAGTAGTGGGAAACAGTGACTCATGGAGTGCCAAAAGGCTGATACATTGAATGTATCAGGAATATCATCTGGTGTTAGCTGAACATACAACTGGAATTCATGAACCAATTCATTGGACGGCATAGATTGATACTGTTCAATGTCGTGGGACAACATACCCAATTGTCGTGGATCGAACAATCGGACAGACCGGTAAACATCATAACCCGGATGTGAGTTGACATGAGCTTCTAATTTACTCAAAGACTTAGATAAAACATCATGAAAAGACTTGACAGCTTTGGTTTTCTCTGATATTGTCATCTGGCCAAGCAATCGATCGGTCTCAATTCCAAAAGTTTCTTTAGTTGTGCCGAAAAAAAAATTGACGGAGACTCTTCAATCTATTATACACTCCAATTGGAAGTGGATCTTTTGTTGCCTCTAAACTGGTAAGTGCAGACATGAGTGGTACACAATTTTCCGACAAGAAGAAAAGTTTAATTTGAGAGAATAGAGTTTTGTGAGTGCACAATTCAACTATTCTATCAATAGCTTGAGCTTGTCCCTTTTCTGCCTTGAAAAATCCCTCGTACAGTTGAAAATGTGTGGAGTGGTATATTACTGCTTCAAACCAAGAGTTCCAACGAGTTTGACATGGGACTGGTGCTGCTTTCACTTGATCCTTTTGTACATACTCAGCAAAAAATGACAAAAAACATAGTTTCCGAGCAGGTTTCTTGTTAAATGCTGATGATATAGTTGAAACTAATGGCTAAAATCTGCCCAGTTTTGAAAAACTTCTCCAGCTAGATTGATGATGTGAGCCAATCATAACACATGGATAGATTTTGGGAAAACCGGTTGCAATACATCTCTGTAAGCTTTCTTGCAATAGGCCGCCGAGTCGGTCACAACAGGTATGTTGCTTGAGGTATAGCTCCTCCATTTCTACAATGCTTTATAAGGAATGGTCTTATCTTATTAGTTTTTTCCAAAGGAATATCAGCTAGAGTACACATTTTAACAAAGTCCATGACAGTATCTTCTTGGAAATCCTTTTGAGGAAAATATTGTTTGAAGAGTTACTTGTTTGGTGGCGCTTGTTGTTGCGGCTAAAGGTATGCCCAGTGATAACTCCTTTGCTTTGATATTGACGAATTTATTTGGTACTCGTTAGACATTCAATAACTAAACAATACTTGAAAGGGTTTCTGTAATGATACAAATATTACTTGTTAATAAAGATATTAAAATGAATTATTGTGTGTTTACAATCATGAAAAATGCAAATAAACTGACAGCTTATGCTAGACTGCTGTAGTTGATAATGTAGGACGCTGGGTGAAGTAATGGCACTAATTATCCACGCAAGATGTCCAGTCCAGAACTTCTTGGAATTTATCACAAGCAAAGTGGTTTATGTCACTTATAGAGAGCCATTAAAGGATGGGGACTTAACAATTCACTTCAGAATGCAAACCTTACTATAATACTACATAATAAACAGTGAAACAAGTTCAACGTTAATAAAAACAATACAGTAGCTGTCATTCAAATCAACTTTTCGGCTTATTATAAACAAGATATTCCAGAAAGCTGGTTTCTTGTGGTGTCTAAGCAACCATAATAATAATATACACTAAATAAGTATGAGTTGCAGCCTTCATCTAAATTGAAATTAGGAAACTTATAAACTTTTTCCAACATGCGTTCGGGTCTAAAACAATATCCGCTGTTTACGACGAACTGACTTTAACAATTATGCTTGATTAACAAGACACTCAATGTAATGCAAATAGGGAAGCTTAGACCTATGAAGTTAATTACTGGTACAAACCATACGAATCATAGGTTTTCGAACCAACATATCCGGCCTCTTAAATTTGAAACCTACATGCGTTGAACATTTAACCTTATAATACTACTTAAATCAAATAATAATATAAGAACAAAATAACAAATCTTCTTTAGATTTAGACTGATGAGTTCCAAATTCCATAAGAATATTCATCTTGCACGCACAATCACTAGTAGTTTTATTCTGTATAACTTTCCAAAAGAACACATTTGTCCACTGGCCTTGTCACAGAATTGACTGAGCTAGTTTTTAGCTCCACCATACGAACATAGCCATTATTATCAGGCATCACGTTGAGCACGTGAGCTAAAGGTCAAGAACCGCGATGTGAATTTTCATAAACAATTAAAACCAAATCACCTACACACAAATTTCGTTTTTCATGGTTCCATTTGTCTCTTTTCTGTAATAGTGGGAGATATTCTCTAGTCCATCTCTTCCAAAAAATGTCTGCTAGATACTGAATGTGTCTCCAGCGGCGTCTGACATAGCAGTCTTGTTTCACAAATTTACCAGGTGGTAATCTTAGTCCATCGCGCAGCAACAATAAATGACTTGGAGATAGGGGTTGTAAATCCTTAGGATCATCCGAAACTGGTGTTTAAGGTCTGCTATTAATTATCATTTCCACTTTGCACATCATGGTAGTGAGACCTTCATCGTCTAGTAACTGCTCCTTTAATAACACATCTAAAATTCTTCTGACAGTTCTAATGCATCTCTCCCAAATCCCTCCAAAGTGAGATCCAGCTGGAGGATTGTATAACCATTTTATTTCTCGCTGTAAAAGAAATTCATCTTTTTGTGCTTGGTTCCAATCTTTAATTGAGTTTTAAGCTCTTTATCACCAGATATAAAGTTTCCACCATTATCCAATCTAATACTAGAAGGACAACCTCGGCGACTTATGAAACTTCTTAGGGCACTGATAAAGGAGTCTGTATTCATAGTGTGGACAATCTCAATGTGAACAGCACGACAAGACATACATGTGAAGATACAGCCATAACGTTTATACTCTGTTCTGCCCTTCTTGATGGTGAAAGGTCCAAAGCAATCAATACCTATGTTGGTAAAGGGAGGCAAATCTGTCATCTTCTGCTGACATACTGGGGCACTTCTTCTTCGGCATTGCAAGCAATTCTTAATAATTCTTCTTACAGTTGAGTTACCATTTATTGGCCAAAATCTTTGACGTATTAAAGCCAGACAATATTCTTGCCCAGAATGACAAGCTAGTTCATGGTAATGACTTATAATTAAATCTGTAACAGGATTCTTCTTAGGAAGTATAATCTGGTGCTTTGAATCATAAAAGTCTGTTTGTCGTCGTAATCTACCACCGACTCGTATTAACCCATGTTCCAAGATAGGGTCCAGTTTATAAATACTACTTCTTCTACATATTTCTTCTCTACAGTCTTTGTTCTTTTCTTTCCTTTTCGGGATTTCGATTTCTTCTTTAAAACTAATTTCTTGAATCTTCTTCAAAATTTCCTGCTCAGCATTTTTCAGATTCTCAACAGTCAATTTTACAGGGGGGTCTTGGGCTTCTAAAACAATTTTCTCACCATTTGCTCTTCTATTTCTACAGCCAATCAATTTTTCTCTATATCTTAACAACCAGGCAACTATTTTCTTCAGTTTATGCCAGGATGAAAATCTCTGTATCAATTCTTCAATAAAAGTTTGCTCTGCATCAACTGTCGTAAATGCTAATTTCTCCTTCTTCACTTCTAGATCATCTACTTGTAGGTCCATAGCAGCTTCTTGTTTTTGATCAGGCCATTCGTCTTCAGGTTTCCAAAGGAAATCCGGCCCCATGAACCATCTCCCATTCTCAGAAAGATCCTTAACTTTTAAGCCTCTAGAAGTATCATCAGCTACATTTTCTTTGGTATCAATTTTACGCCATTGAGAAGGTATCGATCCATCATGTATAATGGCTAATCTGTTCGCTACAAATGTGTGAAACCTCTTTTCTGAATTGTGTATGTACTTGAGGATCGTGGTGCTATCTGTCCAAAACATAGATTGGTTAATTTCAATATCCAACTCTTTGGTTATCATCTTTTCAAGTCGAATTGAAACCGTAGCAGCAGACAATTCAAGCCTTGGAATACTTATTGCTTTCAGAGGTGCAACTCTGGATTTTGATGTCAAAAATGCACAGTGGATGTCACCTCTTGTGTTTATCAGTCTAAGATAGCTAACAGCACCATAAGCATTTATTGCAGCATCTGAGAAATGATGTAGTTGAGCATTTACAATGAATCCAAAATCTTCTGGTTTAAGACATCTTTTGATCTTGACTTGAGGCAATAAAATTAGCTCTTCTAAGCATTCGACCCAAGCTCTTTCATGACAAGTGGGAATTTGGTCATCCTATCCAAGTTTTTGTCTACATAAATCTTGAAGTATCATCTTAGGTATTAATGTAAAGGGTGATGTGAAACCAAGCGGATCGAAAATCGAAGAGACAGTCGACAATATACCTCTTCTAGTGATAGGTTTCTTCTTTATGCTTGTAGCAAATACAAAACTGTAAATCTGTGTGTCCCAGAGTACTCCTAAAGCTCTCTCTATCTGCAGGCTATCTAAACTTTTAACGGAACTTGCTCTTTCGGTTTCTGGTATTGCCTTTATAACATCTAGTGAGTTTGATGTCCATTTGGTTATGTGGAATCCACCATATAACAGCAGGCTACTGATGTTGTGTATCATCTTAACTGCAGAAGATTCTGTATCCTCAGATCTTAAGAAATCATCCACATAAAAGTTCTTCGTAACAGACTCTAATATATCATTAGCAAATTTCCCTTATTGTCCCTTGCTGTTTGTTGCAGAGCATAATTGCAAATACTTGGCGAAGAGGTCGACCCAAATAAATGAACTTTCATTCTGTAATCCTTTGGGTCTTGAGTAATATCATCATTTAACCACCATAAAAATCTAAAAACATCCTTTTCTTCTGGCTTAACATGAACTTGGTGGAACTTAGCTTCTATGTCTCCCATTACAGCATACATGCCATTACGGAATCTCATCAGAACCCCAAACAATGAGCTGGGTAGGTCTGGTCCCTTTAATAGGTTTTCATTCAAGCTAACATTTTAGTATCTTGCAGCACAATCAAAGACAACCCTCAATTTGTTAGGCTTTTTGGGGTGGAATACAGGATGATGTGGGAGAAACCATATTTTACCATCGTTTCTATCAATCTCTTTATCTGGTACAACTTCAGCATAGTTTTTTTCCACCAAATCTTTTATCTTTTCAGCATATTTAGTAAACAAGTCTGGATTCTTTAAAAATCTTTTCTTCAGCAAATCCAGCCTGTGCTCTGCCATTGGTTTACTATCTGGTAATTTGACGTCATTCTTCCAAGGTAAAGCTACATTGTAATGACCATCCTTTAAATCAATACTATCTTTAAAAATCTTTAGGGCTTTCTTGTCGTTGA